TAGAAGTCCATCCAAAAAAGTACAAATTTTTGTATCTATCTCATGCTCAGGATAGTGACTAATCACCCTCTTGCTGAAAGTTGTTGATAGCTATCTTAGTTTTTTTTTTTTTTTTTTTTTACTTTCTCAAGTGGGGAGTATTTCTCTAGAATTTAATAGGTCACATACTCCATGTAGTGAAGGTTGAAAGGGAAAAGTTTGTGGCTAATAATTACCCCTTCCAAAGACTTAGAAGGGGAACCCTTGATAATCCATGGTGTTGCAACGCTATAAGCAAATACACTAATTAATGTGACGTGTAAGATTAGTTTTATAGAAGCGTGTTAAATGTAATAGCTTATAGCTCAACTTTTATATTATAAACAATAGATAGGGTTTTGGAGACAATAGAGAGACACTCCACATATTATATATTTTAATTAGAAAGATTTGAGAGAATAAGATGTTATTGTTTAAGATTGACGTAACTAACTTAACCCTCTGTAATTTTGCCCATTCTTATTCAATAAATCTTTTAATTCAAATAAATGTTTTTCTTCTATTCTTAATATTTATTTTGTCTTGATTACTCATTGCAATATCATATACATATAATAAAGGTTGAGAAACCTTTTTCAAATCACAATCTGGAGAATAACATTAATAACACACATTATTAGGAATAGGATAAGTCTTACTAGTCAACATTTTTGACCTTTAATTTTAATGTGGGTTGCTTAACAAAATTCACCAGGGAACACTACGAGAAAAATTATTATTATCTACGGAAGTTTTTTTTGTAGATAATGTTTAGTTTATCTACTGAATATTATCTACGAAATTTTTTCCATAGATAATGTTTAGTTATCTACGAAATATTACCTACGAAATTTTTTCGTAGATAATGTTTAGTTCTCTATGGAATATTACCTACGAAATTTCTTCCGTAGGTAGTTATCTGCGGAAATTTTCATAGATAAGTTATCTACGGAAATTTTCGTAGATAAGTTATCTACGGATTTTTTCGTAGATAACTTATCTATGGAAATTTCCATAGATAACCTCACTCGTAGATAAATTCCGTAGGTAAAGCATTTTATTTGAAACATCAGTTAACATATTTTGTTATCTTTTCATTTTAATTTATTGTAAAATAATTAGAATATTTAATTTAGCATCATTAAAAAAATAACAATTATAAGATTTATTTTTTTTTTAATTTAATTATTTATTATAATACTTTTAGTCACTGTATTGACCAAAAAATTATTTTTGATTAAAATATATTTTAAAATTTTAGTTAATTCATTATTTACGAAAAATTTCGTAGGTAACGTTACCTACGAAAAATTCCGTACATAACAACTTTCATGGGTTATCTACAGAAAATTCCGTAGGTAATGTTACCTACAAAATTTTACGTAGATAATAACTTTCATGGGTTATCTATAAAAAATTCTGTACGTAACGTTATCTACGAAAAATTCTGTAGATAAAAATTTTCGTGGGTTATCTATGGAAAATTTCTTAGGTAACGTTACCTATGAAAAATTTCGTAAATAAGAACTGTCGAGGGTTATCTACGGAAAACTTTTCGTAGATAAAGTTATCTACGAATTTTTTATAGATAACCTTGGTGGAATATAGGACAAAAAATTTTATGCTCTAAGTGATGTAAAGAATATTTGGTAAAAAATAAATATTATTAAAAATTGTCATTTTAAATTTTTTATTTTTATAAATTAATGATGATAAAAAATAACATACTAATATCTGATTTTAAATTTGATATGAAAATATTATGATACAATTAGATAAGATTTTAATGGTTGATAATTAGAAAATAAAATAAGAATAAATACATTTTTTTGAATTTTATATCCTAGATTTAAGATGAATATATATTAAGTTAATTCATAATTTATTTAAAATGTTAAAATTTAATTTATAAAAATAATATTTTAAAAGAGAAAGATTATAATAATACCAGTGTAACTTTTATTAAATGTGAATTTTATAAATTCAACCATTAGATCGAAAGGTTTTTACTCTTAGCTCATATATATACAAAATTTTATATTAATTCAAGATGATTTGATACTTCATTCTTGTAAAAAAAAATTGATGTAATATATACATTTCAAAATATACTAAAATAAGAACACTTTGATTACCTTCAAGTTGTTGTTCAATTTTAACAAAATTTGATATAAACATATAAAGTGATATGAACTTTCAATCTAACGGTTGAATTTACAAAATTCACATTTAATATAAAATTATTGAGCGGTGTAATACTTAGTAAAAGTTACACCAGTGTTATTATAGCCCTTATCATTTTAAAGTATATAAATTATTATTTAAACTTTTAAATTTATAATAAATAATTTAAATTGTAATTATATCATAATATTAATTTTAAATAGAAATAAGTAGATTGTTAATTATACAAGTAAGTATATATATATATATATATATATAAAGATTAATTAAATATAATATAATTATTATTATTGGTAATATAGTTATTATATATTTTTATACTTTTATATCGGTCTAGACATACCAAAATGAGAGGGATGCAAAAATAGTATAAGTATGAGATTGTATATATAGTTGAAGATGACTTAAATGAGTTAATTTGTACTACTTATACTTATAACATGCATTTTGTTTTTCGGTAGCTTATCTCATCAAAACTCCAGAGTTAAGCGTGCTTGACTTGGAGTAATATAGGGATGGGTGACCTTCTAGAAAGTTTCCTAGAAAATGTGTAGTAAGGACAAAACTCGTTGAAAAGTGAAGTGTAATGAAATAACATCCTTGAGAGACCAAATATGAGGTTGTTATATTAATAAATTTATTAAAATTAAACAAATTTTTTTTGAAGGTTATCTGTAGATAACAACTTTCGTGGGTTATCTACGAAAAATTCCATAGATAACGTTACCTACAAAATTTTCCGTAGATAACGTTATCTACGACCTTATTATTTACGGGTTTTTTTCTATAGATAATCCGTATAATTGACACTTATCTACAGATTTTCATGCTTATCTACGGATTTTTCCATGAATAATCTTGATTTTTCTTATAGTGGAATTGAGATATTTATTAAGGAAATTAGAATTTCTCACCAGAGGAATTAGAGTTAAAATGTTCTCATTGTTTGTTGATTTAACTTGATAATTACTGAAATTGAATAATAATTAGGAAGGATATGTCTAAGGAAGGTTAATTGAATCAATCTCAGACATCTTTTATTACAAAGTTTCAATTATCCTTTCAATCTTTTTATTATTCTAAATACCTAAATATATGTTCTATATCTTTTTTGTGCTCTTCAAGCAAATCTTTCTTTTTATTTTACTTAATTAGCATTAAATTAGATTAATTAATCGTAGCACAAGTCCCTTAGATTCGATACTTGGACTTTTGCCCATTTTACTTCTTACAATAATTGCTATGCTTGCAAAAAGTCTAACAAATACGTGTAAGGGAAAAAAGGTCAATGAAATCAATTCCTAACTTCTTTTATTATAAATCTATCAATCATTTTTAACCTGCTTTCTTATATAAAACCTTAAGATACCCTTTATTTTCATGAATTCTTTTAAACCTAGATTTCACAAATTCTCTAACTAGCATTAAATTAAATTAATTAGTTTTACACAAGTTCATGTGAATTCAATACTTGGACTTTTGTCCATTTTATAACTTACAATATTTGGTATGCTTGCCAAAAGTTTAATAGGGAGTAGTAAAAACAAAACATTAAGTAAAAAAAAAAAAAAAAATGAAAACAAAACATAAAATATAATAGAGGTGTCAAAATGAGTAGTATCACATGAGCATGAAATAATAATAAAAAAAATTCTTAATATAATTTATGAGACATATTAGTATGATGTAAAAAGGATGTTAATATAATTGTGTTGATTCTTCTTCTAATTTCTTTATCATTTCACACTCATGTGCTATGATTCATTTTGTATCTCTACCTTATTTTATGTTTGATTACTTTAAACTATGTGCATTTGTAAGGGTGATTGTGTTATTATATGACTTTTATGAAGTTGTGTCTTTAGTTCTATAATTTTTTGGCTAATAATTAATATATTGTTTATAGGTTTTGTTTTGCTATCTATTAGTGCATTTGTTGTATTTATAGGTTTAAATTTTAAAATTAGTTTCAAGTAAATAACAGTAAATATTGACATTCCCTAAATTTCTACCAAATTTTACTAACACCCCTTATTTTTTTAAGATTTACAGTAACCTCCCTTATATGAAGTCACAATGTAATGTTTTTCAAATACATAAAAAGATTAAAGTAATGTATAAGAGATGCTAGTATAATAGTTTTTAAACAATTAAAAGAGATTATTATAGAAGAGAAAGTAGGAGATATTAGTGCAATGTCACTAAACTTAGGAAGTATTAGTATAATTTACTCCATAAATATTTAGTCTCTAAAAATTAAACTTGTTTTTGTTTTAAAATTCTTTGAATTTTAGTTATATACATTTTGATCCTTTCAAAAACAAAAATTTCAGTTTGATCTTCCTAAATTTTTGTTGTTTTTATTTTAGTCCTTTTAAGTTTTGGTTCTTATAATTTTATAGCTTTTCTATTTTGGTCCCTATAAATCTTTAGCTTTTCTCTATTAGATTTAAGGGTTAGTCTAAGATCAAAGATGAATGACACAAAAAAAAAGAGATAAAATTGAATTATATTTTGAAAGGAATAAATAAAAAATTCTCTATTTTTTAAAACTAAAAATTTATTTAAATTTTTTTATTTGTATTTTAATTTTTTAAAACTAATGTCAGATCTTGCAAGCCTGGGTATTTTTCGACATCACGCTATATTCTTTTCAAAGTGAAAACAATCAGTAACACAAGTTTTTCAACACATTTCGATGTCTGTGGCCCGTCATTGACTCACAAGTCTTCTTTGACAACAATGAGCGTACGTTGTGTTGTCTTGGTATTATTACTCTACGAACCATCTAACACTAACATTGACTTTTGCAACTTCCTTTCGCCCCCCTTCCTAAATCACTTCATTTATTTTATGGCTATCCTCTTCCTCCGTGTAATAAAAAACGCTTTTATTCACACAAAAACTCGTCTTCCTCAACCTTCTACTTCTACTAGTGGTAGAGGCCATATCGTGGTTGCAAACGTAATTTAGAAGTCATTGCTTCCATAGCATCTAAATGTTATTCATTTGGTTCTTATTATTCTCCTACATGGTTACAACTTCAACTTCACTAGACAGTTTAGCAATGGGTCAATCTATCAGAGAAGGTGATACTTTGGTTTCAGCAGGTGGAATTATTGAAGTGGGTTTCTTCAGTCCAGGAAATTCAACAAGAAGATACTTGGGTATATGGTACACAAATGTTTCCCCTTTCACTGTGGTTTGGGTGGCTAACCGAAACACACCTCTTGAGAATAAATCAGGAGTTCTCAAACTCAACGAAAGAGGGATTCTTGTGCTTCTCAACGGCACAAACAACACCATTTGGAAATCCAATATATCCACCAAAGCAGTGAATAAGAATAATCCAATTGCTCGTCCATTAGATACGGGTAATTTTGTAGTCAGAAATGGAGAAGGAACTAACGATGACAATATCTTGTGGCAGAGTTTTGATTATCCTGGTGACACAACGCTGCCGGGAATGAGACTTGGATGGAACTTGGAGACTGGTCTAGAAAGAACTATATCTTCTTGGAAAAGTGTTGATGATCCTTCTGTGGGAGAATATTCTGGAAAAATAGTTCTCAGAGGGTACCCTCAATCGTTTGAATTCCAGGGAACTCGTATAATAACTAGAGCAGGGTCATGGAATGGCTTGTCTACTGTTGGAAATACGGGTCCATCTCGTGAAACGACGCAAAAATTTGTGTTGAATGAAAAAGAGGTGTATTATGAGTACGGGCTTCGTGATAGCTCGGTCTTCTGTGTAGTTACACTGATCCCTTCGGGCAAAGTGCAGACTTGGTATTGGACAACTCAAAGTAGAAACCGGCAACTCGTCTCAACTGGGGACAGAGATCCATGCGATCAATATGCTTTTTGTGGTGCAAATGGTGTATGCAACTATGAAGGTAACATTCCAAATTGTGAATGCATTAGAGGGTATGCTCCCAAGTCTACTGATCAGTGGAATATAGAAATTTGGTCCAATGGATGTGTTCCAAGGAATAAATCAAATTGCAAAAACAGTTACACAGATGGCTTCTTGAAGTACACCAACATGAAAATACCAGACACATCTTCATCAACGTACAATACAACCATGAACCTTGAAGAGTGTAAGAATTCGTGTATTAAAAACTGTTCTTGTACAGCATATGCAAGTTTAGATATTCGAGATGGAGGAAGTGGGTGTCTGCTTTGGTTTAATAATCTAGTTGACATGAGGAAATTCTCTCAACGGGGACAAGACTTGTATATCAGAGTCCCTGCTTCAGAATTAGGTACGTGTTTATTTTAATTTTATTTTTTGCCTTTGATTGATTTGCTTTCTATTATTATGGCTTGAAATCTCATGCTCAAGACAATCATCAAAAGGAAGATCTACGGGTTGTAATATTTTGCTCACTGAAAAGGAAGTTATTAGTAATGCATGCTGTATATCAGATGGCAATTACTTTTCTAAATTAAATATTGTTTTTTCTACCTCACTCGGTCTGAAGAGATTAGAGTCACTTTCTCAGCTTTAATCCATAGCTGTTGTTCTTAAAGTTGGTGACTGATCATGCTCTGTTTCTTTTAGATCATGCTGGCCATGGAAACATGAAGAAAAAGATAGTAGAAATCACAGTTGGGGTGATTATTTTCGGATTAGTCATAACTGCATGCATATTCATGATAAAAAATCCAGGTACGTACATAGATGTAATTCACTATCAAATACAGCTATTAGGAACAAGAAAAGAAGAAAAAAAAATCTATGCATATTAGTATTATATGTTAGTGTTTAAATATTGTTATTTTCCAACCAATCAGGGGCAGCAAGAAAACTTATCAGCAAGCATTACAAAATTAAACAGAAAAAAGAAGATGTTGAGTTGCCAACTTTCAATTTGTCAGTCTTAGCTAATGCTACTGAAAACTTTTCAATCAGAAACAAACTTGGAGAAGGTGGCTTTGGACCAGTTTATAAGGTGATAAAGAAATCTGACATACAGAACCTCTATTTTGCTTTAAAACTTTCTTACTTTAGCAGATAATTTTTTCCAGGGCACACTGATAGATGGACAAGAGTTAGCAGTGAAAAGGCTTTCAAAGAAATCAGGACAAGGGTTAGAAGAGTTCAAAAATGAAGTAGCATTGATTGCAAAACTTCAGCATCGTAATCTTGTAAAGCTTCTTGGTTGTTGCATCGAAGGGGAAGAAAAAATATTAATTTATGAATACATGGTGAACAAAAGCTTGGACAAGTTTGTTTTTGGTTGGACCCTTATGATTTATTCTAAACATCTATGTATTTAATTTCCTATCTGTGGCATATGATTTGATGGAGGCTGCAACTGCTATGCTAAATGCATGTCTCTTTTTTATTAGATGAGACCAAAAGGAATTTGCTAGATTGGGATAAGCGTTTCAACATTATTAGTGGCATAGCTCGAGGACTTTTATATCTTCATCAAGACTCTAGGTTGAGGATTGTTCACAGAGATCTTAAAACTAGCAACATTTTACTAGACGCAAATTTGGATCCCAAAATATCAGACTTTGGCTTGGCTCGATTATTTGTAGGAGATCAAGTTGAGGCAAACACAAATAGGGTGGCTGGAACATAGTTAGTATCTATGTTTGATTCTTTAATATTGTGTTGTCAATTTCTATTTATTTAACAATGAAAAATTATTTTCAGCGGTTACATACCTCCGGAATATGCTGCACGTGGACATTTCTCAATGAAATCAGATGTCTTTGGTTATGGTGTGATAGTACTAGAGATTGTGAGTGGGAAGAAAAACAGAGAATTTTCAGACCCAGAAAACAACAATAATCTTCTTGGCCATGTAAGCATATTGAATTAACAATGATGCTACTTAGTATAAATTTAATCATTTCCAATTCCAACCTACTAACTTAATTCTCATCATCTCAGTCTTGGAGATTATGGACTGAAGAGAGGACAATGAAACTACTGGATGAAGTGTTAGAAAAACAATGTGTATCCTCAGAAGTCATACGATGCATACAAGTTGGCCTACTATGCGTGCAACAAAGACCAGAAGATAGGCCAAACATGTCATCTGTTGTTTTAATGTTGAATGGTGATAAGTTACTGCCAAAGCCAAAGGTTCCTGGTTTTTACACCGAGATAGATGTTACATCTGAAGCAAATTCTCCATCGGAAAATCACAAATTATGCTCAGTTAATGAACTGTCCATCACATCATTAGGTGCAAGATAGAAAAGGGATGCAAGAAAATGTTAAGGCCTAACCTTCTAATGTGTGACATACCAGTAATTTGATTATACATAACTAGTGAAAGTGCTGTTCTGAGATCCCGCTTAACATTGTTTCATGTATCCAAACAAATGTATTAGATAAGCATACTATCAAGACAATAATAATTGTTAATTATATTTTGATGAGCCATACACTTTATAATGTCTCAAGTAATTCTGTTTTGTTCCAATGTAGTAATGCTCAAGCACTTTAAATAACTAGTTCAGCTCCTTTGCATTATTTTTAATATTTTTAGTTTTTATTACCATCATATATGAATCCAAATGTTAATATATCTGCTGCAGAGACACCATGACACATTGACACCAGAGGATCCAAGTGCGTCAAGAAATGTGTATATAACTAGGCATTAGTTTCACCCACCTGAGACCTTAGATTCACTCACAGGAAACAATTACAAGGGGTATAACGATAGACAAAGCCAACATCCTATAATAGTCTGATAAAAGCCACAAACAAACTTTTTGTCGTTGCAATATATACATGTCATCCATCTGTAAAATCTATCCATGTAATTTAAATTCGTTTGCCTAAACATTGATGATATCTTTTTAATAAAGAAAAATAAATAGTAATGATGGGAAAAAAATGAAAAAGAAATAGATAAACAACAACAAAAAGAAAGAAAATCCATTTAACAATTTATTTTAATTTAATATTATTAATCTAAACTAATGACTTAACGTTGAAAAACAGTAAAAAAAAAAGTTACAAATACCCAGTGCCACAGTAAAGCACAAATTGAGGTTCTATTTTCTGCATAATAATTTTCATGTTGTCTCTCACTCTCACTCTCTCATAATACACAACACGTGACATGGCTCAAAAGAATAATATATATATATATATATATATATATCAAGTGAGATGAGGATAAAAGGGTTAAAATATAACCTTTAGATTAATTTTCTCTCACTTGATTAAATCCCAAATTTTGTCTCACTTAATTAATTTAAGGGTTATATTTTAACCCTCTCATCCTCTCATAATAAATTTCTCTCGCTTGATATGCTCCCATATATATATATATATATATATATATATATATATATATGTATTAATCTTAATAACTTCATTGAGAGGTGACACCCATTGAATAATAGTTGGAGTCTTCAATTGAAATCAAGTTTGGAATGCCTCATGTGATGAATGAATTGATGACATGATCTAATTGTAAATGTATCAAA